CTCAGCAGTGCAAATGCGTCGAGCACAGTTCATTGATCGGCAGGTTGCTTGTGGTGGGGTAAAGTGTGAATAGGCCCTCCTCTTCCAACATGTCTGGTCAACTGTGGAAGAGTAGGACCAAATACTCTCTAGAGTTCGCTCGAGTAGAGGCTTTTCTGCCAGCAGTGGCACTACATAAGCAATTGCAGGGCTGCGCCTTAACCTTTCTACAATGTCAGCCAAGTGCCATGAAACTATTTGAGTTTCTAAAAACAAAAAAACAAAAATTATTATGCATACATTTTCAACTTACTTGCGGACATTTAAAAATTAGAATTGCCATATTCTCCAGATTACAAGATGCACTTTTGCTCCTGTATTTAAAGTAAACATTCGAGGTGCATCCTATGATCCAGTATGTGTGTGTGTGTATGTGAATGTGACAAATTGTTATCACTTTATTGACATCGGGCACAAGCTGAGTGTGCATAATAGTGTGCAGTGTCTTATAATCCGGAGAATAAAGGATAACCTTCGGCTTGGCACTGAAAAATAAAATCGAGTGGGTATGGGTGTGAGGAGATAAGCTCCTGTTTTGTATAAACACGATCCCATCAAAGCTACGATATTTGAGAATCATAAAATATTGAGCTGTCTTCCCTGCGCTTGCGCATTAATAATTTATTTCGAGCTTTACACTTGGGATATGAAGCAAAGTTTATAGGAGAGAAGGGTTTACTTTTATACAGCAAGGGAATGATGCTCGGTCCTGAGCGGTCTTTTCACGTTATCAAACTTTTGAGTCTTAAGTCTCGATGCTCAATCTCGCAGAAATTCGGCAATTGCTGCCTGTCACGGGCACGGGAGAGTTAACGTGCAACATGCCTCAAACAACGCAGTCAATACAATAACCCTTGCTGTGTGCCGCATGTGCTTAGTCAGTCAGTCTAGTCAGTGCTGCTAAATCCAGGCATACAGTATGGATGTATATTTGAACCTCTTTCGCACCGTATGTAGACAACCGTGCTAACCGAACAACAAACTCAACGTAAAAAAGCAGTTCTATAAAAATAAGTTTGTCAATCTAGATGATGTATACGTGCATTAGCTCCAGTGGCTTATAAACATCGGAAGGAAGAGCGTTCCAGACGGCCGCAGAAGCGCATCTGAAAGCGTGCGATGCAGTCACCGTCTTTGTTCGATGGGCAGCCAAAAGACACTCCGGGGATGACCGGAGTTCGCGTGACGGTGTATGCTCCTTGACGAGCTCAGCAAGTTAGTGGTTAATTTTTGGCAAACTCTTTTGTGTAATCGAGAAAAAAATCAACAGGCTGCTTGCTTTGTGGGCAATGCTGCACTCTAAGGAATCGAGGCGGAACTGCAGTGCAATCACGTAAGGCGAACAGAACACTATGTTACACTACCAGTCAAAGTCAGAGTGCTTCTCTGCTCAAACGGGTATATGGGGTATAGTGCTCCTCTTCGATTCGCTACTCCGAGTAAGTCGTTGAAATTCAATTTTTATCGTGGTGGCCATTCTGTATTAATGTTCTCCTATTGCTAAACCAGGAAGTGGCACTCATTTTAATAATCCCTGACAGTTGAATGGTGCATTGATCACCAACTAGGAATCAGTATTCCGATTGTGAGTTGAGTGTGCCACAGACAGACAGCACTACCCACTGGATAATAAGTGAATAACCAATGCAACCAACTGCATTTTTAAAACAACGTCTGTAATATCGGCATTTGTTAAATGTCTTAAGGGGCCCTTTGAAAATATTAATTCAAGACAATGAGGCTGCTGGCTGCATCATAATGCCACAATGAAACTGAAAATAGTAATGACTGCGAGATTGAAAGTAAAGGTGTGGACATTGAGAAATCCTGGTCATGCTATCGCAATATTTGAACCACTTCGAATTGATTACTGCCGTATTTCTTGATATGGGGGGGGGGGGGGCGAGGGGGAAATACATCCGAGACCAATTTTTTAAGGGGAGCGTTCGGAAGAAAAGTGAGTGAAGGTGATGTTTTAAATTCAAGTTATTAAAGAGCACGATAAAGCAACACAACAGAGCATAAAAATTTTGCGAGGAGGATTGTAAATAACGACGACGGGCCAAAATAAAGCCGCAGCCCACCGCACACGGGCCATACATTGTATCATAAAAGTGCTTCATAAAAATTCAGGGAAAAAAACCCAACAGTATGAAATTCATTACTCCCATCAAGTTAGAGTCAAAGTCAGTGAAATCTGCACCGTCTTGCTTCGGTCCATTTGAGTTTGATTTATTCCTACGTTGACGCTGTTGGGGGCAGGTTCCTTATGAATATATATATGTAACAACGCCCAACTTGACTTGGACTGAATGCACACCGCGTACACGAAACTACGTTGACAAATAGACGATGCAGCGCTGTATGAGAACCACTGGTGCTTAAAAGTGATCAAACGGGACAGTGTGGGAGTGCTTATCTATGTTGATGGCCCTGAGACAGTCTCGGACATTCCACATTCCCAAAGGAGGGATGCCATCGTCAGCGTTGACATGGCCTATAAGCGGCAAGCGCGTTCACCGCCTGTCGCAAATAGTTCATTGTATGAATTCAGCTGTCACACTGGTTGTTACTGCAGGTTTAAAACCCACAATACATGTTGTTTACTGCACAGCCGACATTAAAGATCCCCTCACGTGAAATCGACTTTGTTTTCTTAGTTCTTGAATGACAAGAAAAAAATATGTAAAAGATTCCCTGATGGCATTCACAAGAGTTGACAATTGTCTGCCAGCGTCAGGGTCCAAATTGGTAAATTCGAAAATGACTCAATGGGGATTACACATCGTTCGCTACTGGCAAATAAATGCCCCAGGTGACTCTTGAAAACTTTGCTCTCCTGGTCCAATAAATCTGAAACTTAAATCAGGCCATGCCATGACCAAACTTGACTCTCCACAAAATGGTACGCATGATATTGATGCTCGAGGAATGATCGGCGAAGTTGATCCATGAGTGTGATTTCGACTGTGACTTAAAAAAGAAATCTGTAATCCACAAAAATTGGATCTCGTTTGAGACGGAGCAATGCAATCAGTTAATGGGCAGGTGGTGTTGGTCATTACATCGCAGGAACGTGAGAGATAGTGACAGCTTTAGGAGGTCTTCCTTCAGCAGTAAATTCACCAAAAGCTGCTGATGATGAATTCCACATGACACGTACCCCACATGCCACGTAAGTGATTAAATACATGATAAACAAACACACAATAAATCCACATTTTCATCTTAGCCACGTTAATTTGTTGGGACACGTGCTGATATTAACCACGAATGAGGCTCGCGTGGCAAACAAGGGGGCCCTCCTCTCTATGTTGCCTTGGGGGAAGGCCAAAACAGGTCCAGATACAAAGCGTCACCGACGTTTATTGTCAGGAGTCAGACTCAGGTCACCGGGATCATAGCGCAGTGGATGAGCCACTACACTGCACGTGGAGACACTTTTGTACGCACATACACACACGTGGGCAAACAGGTCAGCTGATGTTACATCTGTGTGGCAGGCTTCAGCAAGCATGGCAATGAAATGCCTCTGTGGAGGTGCTACCGTGGTAGCTCGGTGGGCAGGGCAGATTCGCTGGCATTTGGGTCAGATTGTCCCTCAGCACGTCCCACACCTGACATTTCACTCATCCCCAACCCGGAGGTGTGATGTGGCCGACAGCACCCACAGGAAAGCACCCGACATTTTGTTCACCTTAAGACTCTGGTCTCTCCAGGTAACCAGTTGTGATATTTTCCCTGTAACCTATCGCAAATTGCAAACAGATCCGTCAAAACTGGCGCGCACGCTCTGCACTCTCTCAAAGAGGATTGTGGGGTGGGGGGAACCGCCGCTGTTACCTGTGGCCTATATCGTCACCTGTCCTTGCCGTCAGCTTGTTAGACGATGGGACAGAACAAACGGCCGCTGCAGTTCTATTTCTTTCACAAGTTTTGCTGCTTCGTTCACTCTCAGTTATCTATCTACCTTGATATTTCAAAACAGCATCTAATCATCTGGTTTTCTGTCGTTACGCAAGAAGATACTTCAAACTTTCTATGTTTCCTCACTTAGATTCATGCAATTTACCTGAAAAAGGGGTAAGATATTATTATACGCGAGTTGTTTTATTCCAGATTGTGCAACTACTCAACAAACACGATGATGCCTTTATCCAACTGTGGATCTTCAACATTCCTATAGCAAAGACATGTTTTGTCTCTGAGGACAGACATTATTCAATTTTCACAACGTGGTTCCCCGTTTTATTCACCTCCAGAGGGATGGCAAGCTTGGTCAACACTGACCGAGATTTGAACTTCCAACCTTCCTCGCACCTCCCATTAGCACGGTTTTCTATGTAAGGTGTGAAAGAAGTTCAACGTATTACATACAATGACAGATGAGTATTTTGGCACACTGACATATTGGGGTGAGGAGAAAACTACATGAAGACCCACAGCATTATCCTGCTGAAAAGTATTAAAACTCGTTGATGTTTTCCTTGGTAAATAATATAGATAGTTTTAATGACTTGCCAAGTAATAATTCGTGATTCAATTGATTATCATCTATCGAAGTCAATGTGTATTCAACAAGTAGTTCTTGTTTTAAAATACTGGAGTGGAGAAATTGCGTCTTTCGTGGCTTTCAGGTGTTTACTGATTTCCATTGAGTAAAATATTAAAAATGAAATATTTCTTTTTTTCCCCGTGTAGTAAGTATTATTTCCTAATTGCTTATGCCTCGAAAGTACAGAAAATTGATATTATTCCCCACACACTTTGCTTTTGTGACCAGGATATTGATATTTAGAAATGTACCTATTTTCCAGAACATTCCGGATAGATTCAGTGCTGAGTAAACTTGGAGTAACTTTTTGAACATTCTCGAACTTTCCAGCAATATAAATAGTAGCATAAATACAGGGGCCTTAAACCGACCAGTTCAGTTTAGTTCCAGCTGCCTAAGTGGATACATATCTGAATTTTTCTGAGATGGCATCCAGAGGCTGCAAGCATCCAACAAAAGCATTTTTCTATGTCTGCGGTCAATTTATCAAGACAAGAGCAAAAACGTACTCTGTAGAAGCATCTGCTAAGATGTGTGAGGCCTACAAGGCATATTTCAGCATGCCTGTCGGGGATCAAGACAAACCCTGGGCAGATTATTTCACCGGCGAATAATGCAAAAAAACGTCTCGAAGGTAAAATGGACAATTGTTACTCGGAATTTAATGCTATAAAAAGTTTGTTACACATTTTTCAATTGTAAAAGTTTTACATTTAAAAATGTTTTACAATTTTCAATGTTACTGAATAAATATATCATATATGAAAAGTGTTGTGAGAATCTCTTACACGTTAGTCATGGGTGAAATAACTGTGTTTTGTAGGATGGTACAGAGGGGAAAAGAGAGCCATGAAGTTCGCTGTCTCAAGAATTTGGCGGGAACCCACTGACCACTCAAGCAACTGCTACTTCTGCATGGTGGACCCTTCCAAACGTCGGACTGGCAAGAATGCAGCTGCTATCACGTATCTGGACCTTCCTTCATCCATCGCCCCGGTGATGCACTGCCATGAGCTCCCCGTACCCACTCCTCCAGAGAGAGAGCAGCCGTCTTTCGAAGAGAGCAGCAAGTCAGAGAACGAGGAAGGCGTTGTAGATATAGATCACAATTTCAAAGGTGGAGCTGAAGAGAGAAACCATACTACCCCAACCAAAAATAACTCAACGACTTGATCAGAGATCTTGGTAAAAGAGATCTTGGAAAAAGAGATATTGGTCTCACCAAGTCCAATGCTGAGCTTTTGATGTCTAGGCTCAAGCAGTGGAACTTGTTGGATGAAAGTGTGCAAGTCGCAGATCAGAGGAAGCGTCACCAACCTTTTTGCAGCATATTCGCCTGTCAAAATGGGCTCTGCTTATGCCACAATGTGACCAGTCTGTTGGAGGCAATCGGAATCACCTGTGACCAGAATGAGTGGTGCCTCTTCATTGACAGCTCATCCAGGAGCTTCAAAGCCTTGCTGTGCCATAATGGTAACAAGTATCCGACTCTTCCCCTGGCTCACTCGGTGCACCTTAAAGATGATTACAACAGCACCAAGACCTTTCTGGACACCTTGAAGTATGATGAGTACAGCTGGAAGGTCATCGGAGACTTAAAAATGGTGGCATTTCTAATGGGTTTCCAAGGTGGTTTTACCAAGTTCCCCTGCTATCTTTACCTTTGGGACAACAGGGACACCAAGGCGCACTACCACAAGCGGGACTGGCCAGAGCGGACCGAGTTCTCTGTGGGGAAGACCAACATCAAGTGGGAGCCACTGGTGGACCCCTAAAAGGTGTTGATGCCACGACTACACATCAAATTGGGCCTTATGAAACCATTTGTCAGAGCTGTAGATAAGGAGTCGACAGCCTTCAATTACCTTCAAGACTTCTTCCCTAAGCTGTCTGAGGCAAAGGTAAAAGCCGGTGTCTTCATCGGACCACAGATAAAGAAGATCCTGGAGTGCAATGAATTACCCAATAAGCTCACTCGTAAGGAGAAATCAGCTTGGAACAGCTTTGTCGCAGTGGTTCGTGGCTTCCTGGGCAATCACAAGGTCGAAAACTACGTGGAGCTGGTTGAGACTCTGGTAAAGAACCACGACATAATGGGCTGTAGGATGTCCCTCAAAGTCCATATCCTTGATTCTCATCTTGATAAATGAAAGGAGAACATGGGAGCGTACTCGGAGGAGCAAGGCGAGCGCTTCCACCAGGATATACTGGACTTTGGACGCCACTACCAATGACAGTCTAACGAGAGCACGATGGGATACTACATTTGGGGGCTGATTCGTGAAAGTGATTTATATTATAATCGTAAATCTCGAAAAACTACTCACTTCTAAATCTTTTGTCGTCATTTTTGTATTACTTTAGTATAAATACATGTTCATTTTGATTAATATGTAGTTTTTACTGACTTTATGTGAATGAAAAGACACAATTTGCCCGTTTTCTCATTGAAAAAAGGTAAATTTCTAAATATCACTGTCCTGGTCACAAAAGCAAAGTTTGTGGGGAATAATAGCCATTGTCTCTACTTTTTAGGCATAAGTTATTCGGAAATAACACTTACTACCCAGTAACAAAAATCGTGGAACATTTATTATAATAAATGTTCATATTCTCTGCATGCATTGTGAGCATTAAATTTCAATTTATACTTCGATGCACTGTTACATACTTAATAACAACAACCTCTGGGACAGGTATACCAGAAACCGTGTTGATATCGTGCTCTTCTTTGGCCACCCACAATTACATATTGCATAATACAAACTGGATAATATAACCAGGTATATATGTACACACTGTGTACACGTAAGACAGATATACGTGTGTAATTGTGAAATTTGGCCCGAGACGAACATTTCTCAACACTGTCACTAGTGACAGCGGAGACATGCCAGGAAATGGGGGTCAATGAAAGGTGGAAAAAATCTCACATTTTTGTGAAAGTGAGACACTTGCTATGCAAGACAATGTGCCAACTTTTGTGCGTATTTTTTTTTTTACAGCTGACAGTATCCACACCGCTCGTGCCTGCACATCTGCGCTTTATTTGAAAGATGGGTCAATTGACGTGCGGAGTAAAGTGGATTAAGGTCAAAATTCAGCGGCAGTACAATTCAACATTGTTCTTCAAGGACCAGCATTTTAAGCGCGTTTGGAAAACATTACCGATGATGAATATACGTGTACGTGCATCAATTTGTTGTTTGCTAATGCGCCATTGCGAGGGCAGACGCATTGTGACGAGACTTACGTGGACTCTAATCTAGGAGGACATCTCATTACTTTGAACAGGGCAGCAGGCAGTGTCACTTGGACAGCTCACACCAGGAAAAATGGCATCCCCATCCTAGTAGAGTAAATAATCAAACAGACTAACCTCCGAATAATATACTGCTGGCTGCTTATCCTACGCTGCACTTAATCAAGACAGTGCCTAAACATTAATTACAATAGCGAGTTAAAATGAACTTACAAGAGCAAAGACTGATGGCGTCTACACCAGTAGTTTCCAACCTTCTTTCTGTCACGTACCTTGTATCGACTGTCAATACACCCGTAACCCAGTGTTCAAAATGTGAGTGTAGAAGTCCTGTTATTAAACCTATTTGTCCTGCAGCCCACGTTCGCTTCTATTTCCGCTCTGCAGAAACACCGTGGCGCAGGATTAGGATCCGCTATGAAAAGAGCTATACACGTGATTGGTGTTCGTCCTGGAAGTATAATAATACATTTTAGGGGCCGTCCATAAATTACGTCACGCACCTAGGGGGGGGGGGGGTCAGACATTTGTGACAATATGTGACGAGGGGGGGGGGGGGGTTGAGAAATGTGACGTCACATCAAAATGCGCAACTTTAAATAATTATAGACAACACGTTCTTCTTAATTAAATATATTTTTTTAAATAAATGTTTGCTCCTACAACATCAGAGTGCAGCACCACATTAAATATGCACTACAATGACAATAGTTTTAAAGCGATTTAAAGCATATTTTTTGGGGGGGGGCAGAGCTTTGTGATGTCATATTTGAGGGGGGGGTCTGACTTTCTATGACGCCGTGTGACGAAGGGGGGAGGGGGTAAAAAATCGTCCAAAATCGCGTGACGTCATTTATGGACGGCCCCTTACAACTGTATTCCTTATAGAGGAAACACATGCTAATTAACTGATTACTAATATATAATAACACTAGCTGTACTACCCGGCTTCGCCCGGGACTTGTATCCACCACGGCCGGCCGCCTTTGTCTCCCCAGTGGCGATGTTAATACGCCACACCAGTTATTCGTTTTGCGGCTGAGTCCCTCCCTCACCACTCTCCCTCCCTCACCACTCACGCACGGCCGCCTTTGTCTCCCCAGTGGCGATGTTAATACGCCACACCAGTTACTCGTTTGAGGCTGAGTCGACCTAGGGGAGGTTCAAATAATCGTCACCGGTGGTGGCCGTGAGCGGGAATGGAACTCGGTTCGCCGGGTTTGTAGCGCAGCGTAGCGTTAACCACTACACCCACCGCTCCTCACACACCACACACGCACAGACACACACACAGACACACACACAGACACACACACACAGACACAGACAGCACGCTAAGCACTACACTACCGTTCCCCCTACACAACACACGCGCGCGCGTCCATAGGAACACATACACGCGCTTGCTGCAGACACACACGACTTTCAGGGTGCGCACGGCAGTAAACGACTGCAATAATAAAGCGGCAATGCTGCGCGAGGAACGCCTTAGACCTGCAAGACATTTGTGTAATGCGAGCGTAAACACACAAACACATACAAACACATACACACACATACATACACACACATACACACAAACACATACACACACATACACACACATACATACACACAGACATACACATACACACAAAAACACACATACATACACACACATACATACACATAAACACATCCACAGACGTACATACACACATACATACAGACACGCAGACATACACATAAACACATACAAAAAAACCCACATACATACACACATACATGCACACAAACACATGCACACACGTACATACACACATACATACAGACACGCAGACATACACATAAAGACATACAAAAAAACCGACATACATACACACACACATACACACAAACACATACACACACATACATACACACATACATAGAGACACACAGACATACACATAAACACAAACACACATACACATGACCCGGCTTCGCCCGGGACTTGGATCCACGATGGCCGGCCGCCTTTGTCTCCCCAGTGACGATGTTCACACACGACAGCAGTTACGCGTTTGAGGCTGAGTCGACCTAGGGGAGGCCCAGGTCCGTTTCAAATAATCGTCAGCGGTGGTGGGCGTGAGTTGGAATGGAACTGGGGTCGCTCAACCAGCTTAATGACTATTTGTACAAAGAACATATAAAGAATCGATTATAATAACCAGGCTACAGTCCACATTATAGACTGGCAGTACACGCACTCAGCTTCATAAGCAGGCTAGAGTGTACATGATAGAGTGGCAGTACGCTCACCGAGTTTAATAAGCAGGCTACAGTCTACATGATAGACTGGCAGTACGCTGACCCAGCTTAATGACTATTTGTACAGTGAACATTTAAGTAATCGATTGTTGGCGCGTTGGGTTTAAAAGTAATATAAATTGCACACATTGTGGTGGGGGTGGAGTGAATAGTAGGAAAAACTTTAATGAATTTACCTCAGAGTGGCGTGGTGGGTGTCGAGGCCTAGTAGCGTGCAGAGCCTGCGGCCTCGCCAAAATTGTCCAGCCGGCAAAGGCAGGGTACGGGTGGCGTGCCTTCCCCCCCCCCCCCCCCTCAGCGCTCCAACAATACTGTGTAATGGCTATTATTTAATTATTTACGGAGCCTATGAAAGTGGCGAAGGCGTGGCTAGCCGTTGGCAGGGGCAACTGCCGTCCAATGAAACTGCAGCCCTTGGCGAAGGCGTCGCTAGCCGTTGCCAGGTCCAATGAAAGCGGCGAAGGCGTCGCTAGCCGTTGCCAGGGGCAACCGCCGTCCAATGAAAGTGCGTATGGTACGAAATCCACACAGACAGACAGACATGCACGATTTTATATATATAGATGACAATACCCACCCACCTCCGCCTCTGATCTCTGCACCTGATGGGTTCATTGATGACGTCAAGCAGGTGGATTGCTACACTATTCTGGCAAATCGCCCGATAATGCTGGATTTAATTGCCAGCAAAACATTGTATTAAAATTGTAAACGTTGTGGATTTACTGTCCAACACACCGGTGGGCTGAAGTAGTAACTAATTGGCGCCTTGTTTATGTGATAAACCTTACTGGCTGTGGCGGGTGGTGGAGGGTTACAATACATCTATACTTGTGCGATCTAACTCAAAAACCTTTATTATGTATAACTATGTAATATTTAGGCTGCATTAACAAATATATCAATAATGTATAGTTTAGGCCAAGCCATCACCATGAAGCAGAGAGGGTGGGTTGAAGTTCCATGGATTAACTAAAATAAACTATTTAAATTTACCAGGTCAGCTCTTTTTCAGAAGCGACCTGGCAACAAACAATAGCTCAATGAAGTGGCTTATCGTGTGGAAAGTTATAGCAGCCAAATGCTCTTAACATGTGTTTATAAAATATGGAGAGACAAACCGGAGGACCCGGAGATAAATCCACATGGCCACGGGGAGAACTTTCAAACTCAAGATATACTTATGTTGGGATCGGGATCGAACCCACTGGAAGAGAATTTCTGAGGGGTTGAAGAATCTATTTTGTGCATTTGTAAATAAAACCTGGATAACAGAGGCATCCAAGTCCACGGATTTACGTAATTCCATGCAACATATTGGTATATACAGCAATTATTAGTGCACACATGCAGATATCAGCACTGCACTGAGTAACCCCGCGTGACCGTACCTCACATGCCCACCGCCATCAGGTGATTTGTCTCGCGTATCAACGGGAGATGTCACGCGTAACCCCCAGGGGTACACGGGTACCGCAGGTTGGGAACTGCTGATACACACCTTACTTCTGATTCACTCGTTCTGCACACGTACTGCACACATACCACCGTGAAAAGCCCTGCATGCTCAGCTATGGAGGTTGCTCACAAAAATCTAAAAAAATGCATCGATGTGAGAAAGCTAACTTAATTGTAATTGGCCGAATAGAACATTTTTAGCACGTGTATAAGTCACGGACGTTAATTCACACTCTTGTTGCAGATGTGAGAATTTGTCTACCATTAAGCAGCACCTTTTTATTTTTCTAAATAATTTGGAGTAGCACAGGAGGGAGTATTCCAATACTCAATAAACATAATTCTGTCGTAGTTGACTTTCCTCAATTCTACACAAATCACTACTCTTCATGCTGTTTGAAATGTTCATATTGAGATTCAGAAATGAGGATTGATTCCGTGCTTCATTTGATTTGTGCAAACGTGCACTAGAAGAGACTACATAATTTGAATGCAGCAAAGGCAATATCACTGTTTTGTGATCATAATAATTTACATCTCTTTGTCAATTTAATTAAACTTATTTTTTGTTACTTTACTAAGAGAAGCCCACTAAGCTATATGGCTCTATTTCAGAAGTGACCTGGTCACAAATTATAGTTCAACAAAGTGGCTTATCATGTGGAAATGTACCACAGCCAAATCATCTAAATGCATGCTTCTAAATGTGGAGTGTTAAACTGGAGGACCCGGCATAAAGTCCACGCTATCGCGGGGAAAACATGTCAATTACAAATATACAGCAGGTGCCAGGGTCGGTATCGAGCCTATGCCCTGCAGCATCCCAGGCAAACGAGTTAACATCTCGCCAATTTGCTTTCAATCGTAAAAGCAAAGAGGAACGTACACTTAAAGTTATGACGGGTCTGTACGACTCTGTCTATTGCTGGCTGTACAGACCATCACAGAAAAGTCAAGTGGATTGATATAGAGAAGAGACGTCAAAACCATTTATGTATAAGTACTGCTAGAATTTTAGCTGTCCTGCTCGAGACAGCCTTGGCATCAACATTGGGATTGTTTTTTTTCCTCCCCCAAATGCCAGCTGAATTGTTTTGACAACCTCTGTGATTTTAGCATTTGGCAGATATGCACGAGACGTGTAGAATGCACCGAGGATATATTACAAGACTGCAATCAAATGACCAAGACTAGCGTTATAAGAAATATACCAAAAGAATAAAAATTGCAAATTCAACATCCCTTGAGGGCTGAGACTTTTAAACAACACAATGCCACCATGAAAGTACATTCGACACTTTGCCGCATAGCCCCAGTCTAATGTTACTGTAACTGAACATATGATTTATGCAATCTGTTATGTTCCCATTATTCATGTCCCCCTGAGCACCAGCTTTTGTTGTTTGTTTGTAAGCAACTACAATTAATATGCAGAAAAGTATCTCT